GAGGAAGTGGGGGAAGGGGGTAATGAAGATAATGTGTTAAAATAGGGTGGGGGTTGGGAGGGATAGAAGAGAATGTGTTCAGATGTGGGGAGGAGGAAGGGAGAGAATGGGTTTTGTGAGAGAGGGGTAGAGAATGTGTTATGATGGGGGGAGGGGGAAGGGAGGGAGGAGGGAGAGAATGGAAATTGTGGGGAAGAGGGGGTAGAGTATGTGTTGAGATGAGGGGAGGCAGAAGGAGAGAATGCATTAAAAAGAGAAGGTGGGGGTAAAAAAAAATATGTTAGGAGAAAGAAGGAGCAGGAAGAAATATGTTGGTGAGCACAAGACAAATGTAAAAAGGGGGGGGGGGGATGAAAGATGACAGAGAAGGCAGTGTCCAGGAGAAAAGAGGGAAGTTGAATGGGAGGGGTTAGGGCCAATCAGTCCCATCAAGCCTCATGTGGTTACTGTCAGCTTGGTTGATTGACCCTTGACATAATGATACACATGTACTGACTCTGTGCTATCTCAAACTACTGCAAATGGCATTCATTGGTTGTGGGAGTATGGGGAGAGAAAGGAGACAAGAAAACGAAAGTGGGAGAAGAAGGGAAAGGGGTGGTGGTGGTTCCCATCATAACACCTGCAGAGTCATTAGTTCCAGTTTTATCTTTAGTACAACTATCAAGAATATAATTCATGAATTCAAAGAGTGAGGCAGAAAAAAAAGCCATGGTACTAAATGATTAAGCAGTAAAATTTCTTGTATTTATCTTGAAAACTCTTTCAGAGGTAAGATTTATTCTTTTTAGCTTGTGAATTTTTTCAGAGCAATGACATAATTATATTTACAATAATAAATAATATATAAAAAAATTTCAGTCTCCAATACACAACAATTTGTTACCATCAAGAAGTCTTTTAAAAGGTTAACCAATATAGTGATCTCATTATTTGCAACATTTAGATTTCAAACAAAGGCCAAATTGCAGGGAGCAGCTCCTTGTTGAACAAAAAAACAAAACAAACAAATGAACAACAACAAAACTTTTAATTCTGACAATATGAAAACAATAACACAATAAAGCCAACTATTTACCAAGGACTTCCTCTATAGGTTCACCTAATATGACTATAAAAGATCTGTTTGACCTCATGCTGTTGACATGAATATTAGTGTAACTATGCCAAACTACAGTAGAACACAAAAGACAAAATCATATAATAATATACTTATACCTGAAAAAGCCATTTTAGTCCTATGTAAGCTTATATAGAAGTGTCTAAGTAGGCGGTATATCTGAAGCTTAACTTCCACGACAGAGAAAAACACAGAGAGGTACACCGTGATCCACAGAGAACTGGGCACAGTGCAGGAAACCATGTGCACGTTTCACAAGCATAAAACAATGTGTGTCACCAGGGGTCTTATCAAAGGCGGCGGAAAATTTACGACTGGCTGTGAAGTAAGCCCCTTGCTCTATCTATATATACACCACACTGGAAGGCAATACTGTGAAAGCTGTACATACAGTGCTTTATAGGGGGGCAAGAATTCATTTTGTATAGATTATTTGGTGG